ACTAAGAATTATTTTACACTTAAGTCCACACTTTGCAGCATTCTTAAGAGTAATTCTAAGAAGTTTTATAAATACGGGCCCAGATCTTTAGTAACTCCTTGATAGGACCATCACTACACTCCTGATGCCCCCGCTCACAGGAGCTCATTCTGGATGTATAGCTTCTTGTAAATCAAAGCTGGCCTGCATGTGAACCAATTTAAGTCAAAAATGTCCATTACCTTCGATTGTTTTTGGCAGTGAGTGTTACTTACACACATTCTTTTTCTGACTGTCAGACTGTTACACAACCACTGGTCTAAAACAGTCTGGATGTTGTTGACRGTGTAAACAAAAACAGAATGAACCCACTTTCTTTCCTCGATGGAACAAAGTCAACATAACATTTGTTTAAACTAAAAATTACACCATTTATTTTAAAGATTGTTTTGAATTTCTCAATTTGCTGAYAAAATTACAGCTTCAGTGTAAACAATGACGCGATTAATGGGTTAATTCAGAGTTGAAATTCAGAAAACAGGCAAATGGGAAGTTGGAAAGAAAATGAAATAATTTTATGGAACTTGTAAAATTAGTCCTAATTTATGTCTTTTGTAAAGCTAGAACTGCATATTATTCATCTTTAATAGTAGAGAACAAGAACAACCCCCTGTTTTTTTCTTCTCTTCATTGGCTCCCTGTTATATTCAGACTGAAATGGGTTCATGACTTTTGCAAATCAGTAGATTCTGTTTTTATTTCTGTTTAAATCCTAACTTTTTGTGGATTAGAGTTGAAGTATCAATCATCCCCTGATGAACTATGCTGAGTAATCAATACCAAAACCTTTTCTGCGTGTTGCTTTTGTTACACACTTTCGAGTTGTGGTTGTTCTGTCTCAGTGGATGGCATTAATGGTCCATGTATGGGGTCAGTGTATCTTTTGGTCATTGGATTTTCATTTTCAAAACGGGTATTAAAAAACAAGAAACGAGAGGTTATTAGATTTTTGTTTTAAAACACTGAAATAAAAATTAAAATACAACGCGTTTCTCATTCTTAGTGTCAATAAGTGATAACAATTTTTTAAAATGACTTGAGTTTCATTTTCTGTTTCAGATAGCAAAAAAGAGAATTACTTGAAGCCAGAAACGGAAAAAGGCTTGTTTGTTTGTATTCTACCACTATTCATTCCCCCCACCAGAAGGGGCGCTCGCCTGAGAGCTCTGCCTAATGAAACACTAATTTCTGTAAATAAAAGGCTGAAACACAGAGAAATATGTCCATAAATGAGTTGTATGATGACTGTTGCTCAGTGACCAAAGGCTGCAGAGATAATTCATGTACCTTTTGACCAAATAAGTCTCTTTTACTGAATACATGTCAGCTACTGCCTCAGTGTTTCATCTCCATTTTTCTCAATAAAAAGCAAAATAAGATGAATATCATTCTATTAGTGTGTTGTACAGTTGTTGTTCTGTGAGCAGAGTGTTTTTTTCCTCCTGAGTTTTGACAAAATCTGTGCTTTTTTCTGTCAGTTCGCATCCTCGGAGTTTTCCTTTCAATGAGGGGTGGTCAGTACAACGACTTTGATATCGATCTGATTCCAAATAAATACTTGGCAAATTTATTTGATACCGAAGTCTATATCAATGCTTTTTACTTTTAATGGGACGTTTATTGAGTAACTTTGATATTGCAGACACCCCTTCTTGTGGTGAAACAGTTTATAGGGATACATTAAATTGGCACGACCTGTCATGGATTATGAACAAACAAGACTTTTTTCGTTTCTGCCTTAAAGTAATTTTCTTTTTTGCTATTTGAAACAGAAAATGAAACTCAAATCATTTTGAAAATTGTGTTCATCCCTTTTTGACACTAAGAATGAGAAATGCTTTATATTTTAAT